ATTTGGACTAATTGCTTCCTTGAGTTGTCAATTTTCTTCATTCTCCTTTGCTCCAGGCAGGAAGAGACCAGTAGTTGCTTCTGAGATGGCCGCTCACAGGCTTTTAAGACCCTAGACGCTACTCACCAGACTAAGATGTAGAACATTATCTTTATGAACTGTGTTTTGTCAATTGACCTAAATAACACCCAAGACTATGATCCTTAGCCTTCAAGTCCAGTAGTTCAGTCCCTATGTCTAAGTAGATTCTACAACTATGCCCCCATGTGCTCTATTTTATATATATATATATGTATATATATGAGTATACATGCAGCGTTTACAAATTTATATGTAGAAATATCCACAACCATACCCATATATGTATGCAGGTGTACTCCCTTACGACCTCCTTAATCTATGTAGCATACATATTTACCTATGTATCTACTCACAAAATGTTTGTTATTATGTTTGTTGCAGGATTGTATATGTTACAGCATTTACCATATTGCCCTTGATTCTTGGGTATCTCTCAGTGTCTTCCTTTGCCTTGGTCATGTTGTGCTGACTTTCCCCATATTCCGTATTGCTTTTCCCTTTACCATAATTAACACTTGTGTACTATCTAGTTAGTGATTCTCCCTCCCTCTCCCATCCCTGGTAATCATCAAAGAATGCTTCTGTCTGTGTATAAGCCTATTCTCGATTTTTTATAATAGTGGTCTCATACAGTATTTGTCCTTTTGTGATTGACTTATTTCACTCAGCATTATGTCCTCCAGATTCATCAATGTTATGAGATGTTTCCCGGATTCATCATCATTCTTTATTGTTTCGTAGTATTCCTTTGTACGTATGTACCAGAGTTTGGTTATCCATTCCTCTATTGATAGACACTTAGGTTGTTTCCACCTTTTTGCTATTGTGAATAATGCTGTGATGAGTATGGGTGTGCATATGTCTATTTGTGCCACAGCTCTTACTTCTTTAGGATATATACCTAGAAATGGGATTGCTAAGTCATATATATTTCTATTTCTAGCTTTTTAAGGAAGCTCCATGCCATTTTCAATAGTGGTTATACTATTTTGCAGTTTCACCAGGAGTGTATAAGAGTTCCAATCTCCCCACAGCCTCACCAGCATTTGTTGTTCTCTGTTTTTTTTTTTTCTGTTGTTGCTGTTGTTGTTTTTTGATCAGTGCCATTATCTCCTGGTTGAGATGGTATCTCATTGTGCTTTTGATTTTGATTTGCATGTCTCTAATGGCTAATGATCAAGAGCATCTTTCTATGTGTTTGTTAGCAGCTTGAATGTCTTCTTTGGTGAAGTGTCTGTTCATGT